ATATTAAGTAGGGAAATAAAGATGTAGATAAAGAAAGTTTTTCCAACGTTCATCAAAGAGTTAACGGTACTACCATGAATTTTTGATGAAGTTGATAAAGGAAAAAATACTTTGATGAAGAAAGTGAAGTTGAAAGAAGATGTGATCTTGTACAAGAAGGAAGATGACAAGAAGTACAAACAAAAAAGGAAGAAAAATTATAAGCAAAATAAAAGGAAGAATATCAAATTCAAATAAATAGATATTAAAGTAAGGAAAAATATTGGGAATATTACTTTATTATCTTTTATTTAAATTAGGAATTACGAGATTTTATTATTTTTTAAGAGAGAAGATAAAAATATATTAGGTTATTATTTTGATTTAGACAGTTATGATTGAGTTATTATTAATATTTGATATTTTTGTAATATTTTTACTCTATATATACATAGAGTACATAAATAGAAATATATCAACATGATATATCATAAATACACATATACAAAACTCTAAAAATTCTCATCAAAGAATTCATACCCATTGTCAAGCATTAATTGCCTTGTTGACAGCACATCCGACCAAGGAATTCTAAGTTGCTTGGATGCCTATTATGGATATAACCAAATAAGAATGTACCCATCAGACGAAGAAAAAATGATTTTCATCATGAAATGTGTGAACTACTGCTATAAAGCAATGTCTTTTGGATTAAAAAATGCTTGAGGCACTTATCAACGACTAATAGGTCGGATCTTCAACAAACTTATTAGGGATATTGTTGAAATTTACGTTGACGACATGGTGGTTAAGTCAAAACATCAAGTTGGTCATTTCACTCATCTACAAAGAGTTTTTGACGAGCTTTAGAGATATAATATGCGTCTCAATCTGAAAAAGTGTGTATTCAGCGTAGGAGGGGACAAATTCCTCGAATTCATGATCACCCAACGTGGTATCAAGGCAAATCCAGATAAGTACAACTCTATATTAGACATGCAAAGCCCCCCAAACATTAAACATGTACAATGACTAAACGATAATCTTGCAACGCTAACCAACTTCTTATCGAAGCTAGTCGAGAAAGCCAAACACTTCTCCAAATTGTTGAGAAACTATAATAAGTTCAATTGGACCAAAAAATCTGAAGCCATGTTCCAAACCATAAAAAAAGACATTGCATCATTACATGATGGTCACAAAATCAGCCATCAGTTTGGTATTTGTACACTACAATGATAAAGAACAAACCCTGGCGTACTTCACCGACCAAATCCTACAAGAGACAAAAGGACGATATTCTACTATAGAGAAATTAGTGTTCGTGCTTATAAACTCATCAAGAAGGTTGTAGCCATATTTTCAAAACTTTAGTGTCGTATTCAAAACTGACTACAAAATTAAGCAAGTACTCTGAAAACTTGAAATTGTCGGGTGAATGATAGCATGCTCAATCGAACTATCTGAGTTTGACTTGCGATTCAAAAGTTAAGGACTGATGAAGGCACAATTTTTGGAAGACTTAGTAAAATTACCTACACTTGGCGAAAGATATCAATGGTGGACCCTTAGTGTAGACGACTCATCTAATAAAAAAGGAAGCGGAGTTGGGATATTACTCGAAGGACCCAATGACATCGTATTAAAATAAGCCCTACAATTAGAATTCCCAACTTTTAATAATCAAGCTCAGTACGAAGCCCTTATTGCCAATCTAGGACACACTAAGAAGATGAGAGTTAAGTACTTACGATGTTAGAGGGACTCGAAACTCATCACCAGGAAAATCTTGGGAGATTTTTAAACTAAATAGCTCGTCATGCAAAAATACTATCACATAACCAAATGTCTATTGAATGATTTCGAAAAGGCATTAGTTACGTGCCTAAAGAGCAAAATGAACGAGCTAACATGTTATCCAAACTTGCTAGTACCAAGAAACCCGATCAATATGGAACATTGATACAAGAGACTTTGACCTCTCAGAGTTGGGATACCGAGGAAGTTTTCCAAGTCAAAATAACTTGGTCAACATGGATGACATTAATTATACAATATTAGAAACAAGATTTACTATTATAAGACATGCAGTCGACTTAAAAAATAAAGAGATTTTTCGCCAAATATGTTTAAATGTTTGGACAAGGATCAGGCATGATACATTCATGTCGAAATCCATAATGGCATATGCAACTTACACTTCAGCACTAGGATGATGGTTGCAAAAGTGCTTAGAGCAGGTCATTACTGACCTTTCATGAAAATAGATGTCAAACTATTTATCCAGAATTGTGAAGCATGCCAGCAACATGATCCCTATACGAAGATACGCTAGAGGAATTGCATAACATCACTACACCATGGCCCTTCATGACGTGGGGGATGGATATTCTCATACTATTCCCCATGATCAAAGGACAGGTCAAGTTTCTTATAGTTATTATAGATTATTTCACAAAATAGATCGAGACAAAGCCATTAACGACAGTAATAATTTCACAAGTATGAAAATTTGCATGAAAAACATAATATGCTGACATGATCTTCCATATACCATGGTGACAGGCAATAAGAGACAATTTATTGATAAAGGGTTTGAGCAGTTCTTACAACAATTTTGTATCAAACATAAAGTAGCATCGGTCGAATACCCGCAAATAAATGGTCAAGCTGAAGTCAAAAAAGTTATCCTGAAATGAGTTGAAGAAAAAATTTGGACTGACAAAAGAATTGTGGATCGAGGAAATACCTGAAATACTACGGGCTACCATTGTACTCCCCGATCATTTACACAAGGATAGCCCTTCCTGTTCACATATAACATCAAGGCTATGATACTTGTAGAAGTGGGAGAGGAATCTTGGAGATGAAAAGTCTTTAACGGGCGCAAAATGAAGAAAATCTCTACGATAAGATTTACTTAATTCATGAAATACAAGAAAGAGTTAAAGTGAAGGCCATAACAACCAAGCTAAGAGCCACTAAAAGATATAATTTGATAGTTTGACAGAGAGAACTCCAATAGAGAGATTTAGCGTGGAGGAAGGTTAAAGAAACTTGAAAAAATAAAACTATGAAAATTGACACCCATTTGGGATGAACCGTTCAAAATTTTTGAATCCGGTGCATACAAGTTGGAGCATCTATATCACATCACTAATACTTCGATCAGGGAATCCTACTATTTAGAATTATATTCTAGTTGAAAAAAACTAAAGACTTAGAAAAGCTAATTAATGACTCAAAAGTCGAGTTAGGACCGAAATGCCAAGTTTTTACAATATAAAAACATACTGTGATGGCCTATTAAGATCGCTCAATTCATTGGTTTGCATAAACATAACCATGGTACTAAAGCCTATTAAGGTTGCTCAACATAACGCCATGTACTATAATAACCTACTAAAATCATCTCACATAGCAAATGTTGATTGCTATTTTTGTTTATCTACACATTTATTATTGATCTTACACATTATTTATTGAAAATAGTTGACATGATTCACTATTTTTTAATGTCATTTGCAAATTAACTCGATGCCAAGCAGAAAAAGCAAAAGGCGTGAGTAGACACCAAAAGCCAAGAACGAGGCCGCATGAAGAACGAATGAGTTAAAGAAAATCGAGCTGTCCCAAAAACAATAAAATCAATTGCTAAATAAAAAAAGTCATTTGAGCTAGAAAGAGGTCATTACGAGTATGCATGGAGGTTGTAGTTATTTATGAATGTTGCAGTTATTTGCACTATTACATTATTACTTTACTAATTATATGCTTTATCAAGTTTTATAGAACTTTGGTCGACTACCTTTTGTTATTCAACCTCATTTTATAATAACATGCATGCTCATCATGCGCTTATACAAGCAAATATACTATATAATAAATCGTTGGATATACAAACCACGTATGAATTCTCACAAGTATATTGGCGTTACATATAGTCAACCAAATAGAATAATAATAAAAAAAAAAACTCAAGAATTAGTCCTTCATCTCTTTTTCAATGTTGAATATCGACATATCCGTCACCCAAACATATCACCACAGTTTGAGACACAGTTTTTTAAAGGTTTTCTTCATATACATTGAGCAACCTTGTCTCAGCCGCGCGTAGCTCGTGCTGCCCTCCATCTCCTTAGTCTTCTCAACCTCGACCAGTTTTTCCCTCAGCTCAACTTTTTTCCATTATTGTTTATAGGTGTGTCAATCTCCTTCAACGTCTTTTTCATATTTCAAATCCTAGCAATTAATACTTTTTTTTTTTACAAACTAATTAAGAATATTATTTTTTTTTATTTGAAATAAAGGTGTACGTATCTGGGTTTTATATCTTCCGTTGCGAAAGAATAATATTAAATATCAAATGGTGCACTATTTACATTTTATGTAAGACTATCACGGTTGCTTCAAGCTGTATAAGAGAATCTGAAGATGTCGACTAGCCCTTTCGCAAATTGAGAGAAGTTGAATCAAATCAAATCTAAACCTAATTTTGCCTTTATTTTTATCTATCAAAACTGGTCAGGATTAGATCTGTGTCCACAAAAAATCAAATTTAATTATGCACCCATTATTCTTTTTAAAATTTTAAGGTTTAATTTAATACATGACAAACATTTATACTTATTTTATTATATTTTCATAGTAAACCCTAAACTGTCAAAATACAAAACCAAATATAATAAATGGGTAGAAATAACCTTTATATAATAGAAAGGTAAATACAAATTACCACCTCAACCCAACTGATATTTTTAATACAAATTATCACTTTTACATGATTCCTTGAATAATTACAACTTGTAACAAAAGTTGTTTTTAATTATAAGGTAATCATTTGGAAATTGAAGAAGTCGCGTGGCTATTTTATTTGTAAGTCCCTTGAATACAGGAAATATAGGATACAAAGTAAACTGTAAGAGAATAAATACAAAGGAGAGAAAACATGTGGCATATATATGTATATATATGTAGCATGCACACAGGAGTTTTGTGTAATTGAAATGAAGTTAAGTGTTTTAGGGTTTGTGAGGAAAAAGACGAATTGGGAGGTTGTTGGCAGGAATGGGCAAGGGATCAACAATGATCTTCTCATCTGGAATAATTTTTTGCCACTTGAACCTCTTCACCAGGTTGTGCATGAAAACCAAGATTTCCAATCTAGCATACTCTTTTCCAGGGCACATTCTTGGTCCTCCACCAAATGGCACAAAAGTGTAAGGAGCTGGCCCTTCTCCTTCGAATCTACTTGGATCAAATTTCTCTGGCTCTCCAAAGTATTCTGGATTTTTGTGTGTTGAATGTGCACTCCAATACAGCTACACACGTAGTAAAACAATTCAATTACCTTATATTATTGTAGTAATTGTTAATGTGTAAAGTTTGTAGTTTAATTTCCATGAAATAAATGTTAAACAAGATCCTATATGTTCTCTAATACTTTTTAAGTTTTATCATTAAGTGGCAAAGTTTCTTGTTATGGAAACCAAACGCATAACATATTCTTCAAGCCATGTAGTGAAGAAAAGAAAAAATTAAGAGAGAGTACGTAATGTATATCCCTTTGTAGTTTGTAAAATTCAAGAAAATCCGTATAAAATTTTCTTACCTTCCATCCCTTTGGAATTGAGAATCCATTGAAAGTAAAGTCATTAAGAGCTTCCCTAAAACCTCCTTGAAGTGGAGGAGCAATTCTCAATACTTCACAAGCTACGCTCCAAGAATATTTCATCCTATTGATGTCATCCCAATTCAACAACTCTCCTGGGGATTTGGATTTTGTAATTTCCATTTGCTCTAAACAAATCACGCAAAAAGAAACACAAATCAGTGCATAAATGGTAGAGTTCTTAACTTTTGTTTTAGTTTTGCGCTTGACTTGGTTACAAATTGTTCATTTCAGGGTGAAGTATTCCGAAAGAAAGATTTCTGGTAGAATTGTACGTATACATATTTTACAATAAAAACAAATGTTAGTGTAAGACATGCATGCTTGACTAATGGCATAAGGTGAGATTCTTCCAAATTTTGATAAAAATTGCACGAAACTAGAACAAACAACAGCATAAATGATGAGATCATCCTTGATAAATTATTTTTGAGTCTAGTTCGTAATTCAAACATGAATAGACTAACATAGATTAAATCGGTGAAGTTTGACGTAAGTTAAGAGGATTGAAATCATCAAGATTTTGACTTATAGACTTGTAAATTGACTTTAAATACCTAGAAGATATTTGTTAGTATAAATATTAAAAAAAATAATCAGATCAAAGCAAATATAATTTTTATGGTAAACTAAGATCAATTTATACATAAATTAAAAGGAATAAAATGTTAACAATAGAATCACCTTGATAGACTTTATCATAAATGTGAGGGAGTTCGGCAAGGTATTTGACAACGAAAGTGCATGCAGCACTAGCAGTGTCATGACCTCCAATCAAAAGGCCCAGAATCTTGTCTGCAATATCGAATTCTGTCATGAACTGTCCATTTTCATCGCATGTTAGGAGCATGTGAGACAGTATGTCTTGTGTTGGTGATGCTTTTCCTTCACCCAAATTCACTTTTCTCTCTCTAATGATCTCCAACAGCTTCTTCCTGATGCCATTTGCTGCTTGGATCGCTTTGTTGAAGGGTGTTCCCGGAAGATCAATAGGCACCGATATGATTCCAGACGCCAAAAGCTGAAAAGGGTTCTCGAATTTGGCTACGTGATTCTCATCCTCAACGCTCATAAACAAACGACACGCCAACGAGAAGGTGTACCTGTTCATTTAGCAAATATTTATGCAGGTTTCAAGATTTGACGTGGGTATTATAATATAAGTATTTGGTTAAATAAGATCTGCCATGTATATAAATACCATATGTGATCATACCAGTATCACGTTATACATTCTGTCAGAGAGATGGAGGAAAAAGTAATATCGACTCATGAAGTTGTTACAATAAAATTGATAGAGACAAAAAAAGTAAAAAATAATGAGTAAGAAAAAACTATATATACCCTAAATATTTTGCAGATGAAGAAAGAAAAGATGCAAATATATAAAATAAAGAATGAAGAATGGTTTATGGGACCTCTTGGCCAAGGGATAGACGGTGAGTTGGGTGTGGTTGTCCCAAAGGGAAGAGAAGTGCGTCTGCGCTAAGGAGTCCATGATGGGAACGTAGCGTTGGAGAGCCTCAGGTTTGAGGAATTGCGGGAGCAATTTTCTCATCTTCTTCGACTCTTCCTTGGAGTTGGTCAGCATGGTGGTGGGGAAGATCTTGTTGACACTGTCGGGCCACCACGCCGCCACGTGCTTGTTCTCGTTGGAGAAGATGAACTTGTTGGAGGCGGCGCCGCAGAACACGACGGCTCGTTCGCCGAGAATGGAGGTTTTGAAGAGGTCGGAGGAGTACTTGATCATGCGGTCGAAGATGAACTTCTCCGGGTGACCCTTCCATCCGGTTGAGAGGAACTCAAGGCTCTCCCCGATGACTGGGAAACCGGGGGCTCCAGGTGGGAGGTTGGGGACGGAGAAGGGAGAACGGTGTTTGTGGAAAAGGAGGAAGAGGAAGAGGGTGACGAGAGAAACGAAGAGAAGAAGGAGGGAAAGATAGAAATGCTCCATGCTCTTTGTTTGTGTGTGTGTGTTTGAGTTTGTTACGTGGTTTAGATCTTGTAACGTGTGTGTTTGTTGAAAAGTCACTCACACTACTTGCTACTTGGTTCAGTGCCAATTTCCTTCCCCCTTGGGTTACAATTTATAGCCACATTGTCGTTAGTAAGTGCCCAATTTCATGACTTCATGCTAAACTCTCTCATATATTGAGTTTACTATAAATTTCGGATTAAATGATGTATTTAATGTTGTAAGTAAATTTAATGTTGCATTAACATCTTTTTGTACTACCAATAGCCTTAAGGTTGGATTATCGTGAACAGTGAATTTTTACAAAACCCCTATAAAGATCTCAAAAAGTGAGAGATGGTAAAAGAAGAGAAAGAAAATTCTGTAAAAAAAGAAAACAGATTTCAAGTAATATGGTTTACTGAAAATATTACTTTTTTAAACATAAACCTAAACACGTAAATATATATTCTCAACTTAAAATTATTGAAAAATAATTTTTTTATGAAAATGCTAAAGTAATATTTAAGAATAATGATTTTTTTAGTTATACTTAATTTTTGGAGGAGATTAGCGCATGACTTCTAATTGGAAATATCCAATCTCAAATTAAAAAATTAAAATTAAAATCAACAAGGATTTACAATATACTCAAATGTTTTAACTATACAATAACCAGGACTTCAATCTATTAAAATATGTTAATTCATTAAATGAATCTCTTAAGTGAAATTTTGAGAAAGACAAATGGTTTAAATAAGTTCAAGTCTCTATTTTCTATATAAAAATATATTTTATTTTCAAGTATTAATTTTTTTAAAATCGGATATCTTATAAATTTAAACCTTTGATATATTCATCTAATATTTTTTTGATTAATTTTACCATCCACATGTTCGATAAATTAAACGTATGCTGTAATTTAAAAGAGTCAATAGACTAATATAGATGAAATATTAATATTTTTTTCTGAAATTTAAATACAAATTTTATTATTTATTAGATATTTTTTAAAAGAGAAAAATTATTAGATATTTAAACAATACTAAGTTATATAGAATTAAAATTTATTTTAAGGTATAATAACCCTTAGGAAAAGTAGCAATAATTCAAAGTAGTGTGCGTGAGACGGAGTCAAATAATGAAGGTCATGCTCATCTGTTTCTGCCTATGATTACAACAATACTAAGATTTCCTATCCCTATTTATTAGCCGCAAGAAATACCAAGCCAATGTCCGCGTTTGGCAAAATCCAACTCAAACTAAAATCTCTTATTAAACAATTATATATATATAAATAAATAAAATTAGTTTTAATAAAATAATTCATATAAAAATAAATTAGATACATTATATTTACATAGTGTATAATTACATTATCTATAACTGCACTAAAAAAATCCATCTTTTATTCTCGTCGTAAGAGCCATAATATAACAAATTAAATTAGTCTGCTCGTTGGAATGAAACAAAAAAAAATTGTGGCAGGAAAAAAACCCATAATATTGTAGCACTTGACTCTCTAAATTTTATTACAGGTTATTCTTATTTTAAGTTTATGAATGATAACATTGCAATCAATTGATTTATTAACTTATTTGAAAATTTTTAGATTTTTAGAACTTAATTAACAGTCTTTTTTTGGTAAAAAAAATCAATACAAATACTGATTTTATTATAAATTCATAAAAATTTTAGAGTAAATTATATTAACATGAAATTTTCTCAAATTAGACTGATAGTCCCATCTTATTAAAATTATATACAAACTTTCAATTTATTTATAGAACATTTCCATATTACCTTACATATATATGTACCCTTTTAAATTTTAAAAATATTACAAATATATTATATAAAAATGCAAACAAAAAAAAATGCATGGAGAAGCCATAATAGTATATAAAGGATAAATGTATATTTTCATTATTTTTTTGCGTCACGTAAATATTATATTACTTGCTCTCTCTTTTTTATTAAAATATATACTTTTATCCACCGACGAAACGATTTTTATATCAATGAAATAATATTTTATTAATTAACTGAAATTTATAATTAATCAATCTCCTTGTTACATCTAATTGGCAAAATTTTGGCGTAAAATATATATTTTTCTCCACCGACGAAACGATTTTTATATCAATGAAATAATATTTTATTAATTAACGGAAATTTATAATTAATCAATCTCCTTGTTACATCTAATTGGCAAACTTTTGGCGTACATAAAATTCAAAGTTGTTGCGTCAAGGTAAGAATGTTCTGGTTTTGACATTTAAGATATTGTTCGTTTATTTTAAATTTTTATTTATCATGATTTTATTTTTAAAATATGTCACACTATATTAAAGAAAATGAATTAAAGAAAAAAATTGTATTTAAACTATCTTATCAGGACTCAAAATGATGTGGTATGAAAAATAAATATGAAGATTTATATTTTTAAAAGGATTAGTTCTCCGTAGGAAAAACATATGCTATATGGTGATTTGATTTATAAAATAGGAAGAATGTCTATTATTGTTTTTCGTATTACATTTAACATTTTGGATGTTTATGTAATTTTCCTATTTTTTAATTATATTATTATTATTATTATTATTATTATTATTATTATTATTATTATTATTATTATTATTATAGAGTATTCACTAATGATTAATCTTTGCAGAAATTTTGGCTAACAATTTTGAGGAGAATTTCTCAATAATATTACGTTTTTTTTTCTATTCATAAAATTTAATCTCAACACTGAATAATGTTTTTTCGTACACAAAGTCAAAGGCTAAAGCAACCACGCATTTTTATTTTCCTTCCCTCATTTTCACGATGAATCAAACTCTAATAAATTCAACTCTCGCGTTGCACATTCCTATATTGCTAAAAATTTTGATTATCTCAGCGAATCACTCGCGTAGCACAAGTTACAACAGACAAAATAAATAAACAAAATAATAATATTATTATTATTAAACAAATGAAAAGAAGAAGAAGAAACATGTATTGCACATATTTCTTTCCTAAACCAGAGGGAAAAGAAGAAAACGCGACAGAATTTAACAAACACGAATTTTCAACGCGCACAAGCAAATACTTTTTTATTTCATCATTAAATCATCGTGTACGTTAAGTTTATGGAATTATCATTTCCTAAGAACACCGTTTTACGAAAAAAAAAAAAAACTTAGACTATTTGTTCTGGCTCAAGGGATATGGTCATTTAGGTTTTCTCTCTTCTCTTTATAATTAAATTTTTCTTTAGGGTTTTTCTTTTTTCACATCTATCGGTCTCAATAATATCTTATTTCTCATACTATCTACGCATCGGGCATCAATCAAGTTCATCTCCTCCAATATCTTGACCCACTTTACTTATGCAGTTAGACCCGAGCCCAACCAGACTCAATCTCTATGCACATACCACAACCCCCAAGTCTTAAATTAGAAAAATATTTCTAATGCAAAGACTAAAAACCGAAATAAATGTCGAATACACTTCATCCCTTAATATTTCATGATATAATTGCAAAGTTCAACCACTTAAAGGGAATAAACAACCATTAATAATCAGACTTACAATGACCGTCATCTTGATGTAGAGTGTGAAAATTGCTTCCGCGAGTTCTGAATTTAGATGAAGATTAACCTGTTTTTACTCGTACTCCAATTTAGATCGCGTTTCGATCTTAGTTCGCATTCCTAACATAGCTCGTTTCGATCTTAGTTCGCATTCCTAACATAGTTCGTTTCGATCTTAGTTTGCATTCCTAACATAGCTCATTCCGAGCATAGTTCGCATTCCAAGCATAGCTCGCATTCCTAACATAATGCGCATTTCACACATAGCTCACATTTCGAGCATAGGTCGCATGCATTCCGAACATAGGTCGCATGCATTCCGAACATAGCTCGCATTCCGAGCATAGCTCGCATTCCGAACATAATGCACATTTCACACATAGCTCGCATTCCGAGCATAGGTCGCATGCATTCCGAGCATAGCTCGCATTCCGAGCATAGCTCGCATTCCGAGCATAGCTCACATTCCGAGCATAGGTCGTATTCCGAAAATAGGTCACATTCCGACCATAGCACGCATTTCGCACATAGCTCGCATTCCGAGCATAGGTCGCATTCCCTAGTACGCATTCCGTACATAGCTCGCATTCCGAGCATAGTTCCTATTGGAACAAATAAAAAACAATACTTTTAAATAACAAAAGAGATTTTAAATAACAGAAGAGAAAAAAATTGTCTAAAGATAACCTTTTATTGATATTGTTGTCCCATTAAAAACCTTGAAAGAAAAAACATATGACTATAAGATTAACAAACTTCCAAGGAAAAGAGTACAACTCAGTCTGTCACCGCAACTCCTCCATTTGATTAAGGATTAGTTGTATCGCTGCGTTGTTTGGATCAACCCCGTTAGGGTATTGATTATTTCGGTTGTTGGTATGAGTTATCATTATTGTTTTGAATGTGGAGTAGGAAAAATTTTACCTGCCCCACGGTGGGCGCCAATGTTCTGGCTCAAGGGATCTGGCCTTTTAGGTCTTCTCCCTTCCCTTTATAATCAAATTTATCTTTAGGGTTTTTCTCTTGGCGCATCTATCGGTCCCAATAATATCTTATTTTCCGTACTATCTACGTATCGAGCCCATTAGGTATCAATCAAGTTCATCTCCCCCAAATGGGTTTATCTTAACCCACTTTACTCATGCAGTTGGACCCGAGCCCAACCAAACTCAATCTCTATGCACATACCACTATTATATTTGAAAAAAATATATAGAGTAAAAAATGATTAAAAAAGAAAAAGTATCGAATAAAAATAAATATTTTTCATTGAATTCAAGGAAAATAATAAAGAAGTGTATTGTTATTTAATATAATATTTCATCAATATATAAAATAAAAAATGTAAAAAAAATATTTTATAAAATTATCTTCAAAATAATCACTATTTTAATATTTATAATTATATATATATATAT